AACCTGACAAGTCATTATCTTTTATTTTTCAAACTGTACAAAGGCTATTTAAAAGTACATATTATCAGTATCCTGAAGGTTCCAATTTAATGCTGTTACTTCAAGACAGTGTAGCAGTGAGACAAACCACTGTAATTTTGAACACAAAAGGATCTAACATTTAAGAATTAATGTTATTATAATGACCTATAAGTTCACAAAAATGAGATATGAAAATCTTTATTATGATTGCCGATAGATTAAGAAAAACTAAGCTTTTGAAATTTCTATCACATACATTACAGCCTCATCTTATAATAAAATAACACTATTTATTTAATAACCGAAGTGAACGGAGTTCATGGAGGTAGGCCTAGGCCCACTAGGGCTGTAGTGCCAAGGGGGGGAAAACTTATTTAATAACTAGTAATGAAAACAGGTTTATAACTCTATATCTATCATAGTGAGCACCACATATTGTTGGAACATTATAAATGTTGTCTCATATCTGAAACAGTCCATGTTTAATTCCTTCTTTTTATTACTGTCCCTACATTTCCTATCAACAGTTTGCTCACATGGATATCATTTCTCTCACATCTGTTTAGTTAACAGGTTAGTTTTGTAAGATTAAAGCTATATTACAGTGTTAAGTCCTATGTCAATTACTTTTAAAACTTGTCATATAATTAAACTACATAACCGTAGCATTTACTTTACAATAATACAAAGAATTTGTTTTAACTTACACATGACACTTACTTTTTGAAGTCATAACAGTATCTCACACACTATTTATGGATAATTTATTTAATATATCTGCATTTTTTAAAGTAATAACACATGGTATTCATGTGCATGAAACTGAAGACACTGGTACCAGCTGACTTACATTTCAATAAGAAATATTCAACTCTTTAAAGTTTGCTGCAAGTGTGTAATACTTAGTTCATTCTCATCAGATAAATGCAACAAAATATTTTAAGATAAGTAAATTTGAAGATGGGCCAATGAAACCAGTAAAACTACACATGGTAGAATACAGTGGCCTAGAAAGTGGTTTTATAATTGTTTTACACGTTCCTAGGACATAAATATTTTGCACCCATTTGGGAAAGTAATATTTCATTCCTGAAAAGTTCACTGTATTAAGTGAAAGATTTAAAAGCACTATTTTGCATTTAAAGATGTATTTATATGTTTAAAAATGTATAAAACATATTTTCTGACATTACTTCATATGTACTACACAAGGCCACAATCGTTTAACACAAACATTTAAAGGGGTAGTAAACCCTCTTAATAAACAAATGCTGTTGAGATGTTCAGGTTATACTTAAAGCTTACCGTTCATCACTTCATTATTTTAATATGTGCAACAGGGGGCCTTTAGAATATTCAATTTTGGTCTCACCAAGATAATGATTTAAAGGTTTTTGTTTATATGTTATTTAACTATCCAGTTAATTGCAAATATGCTGCTATTTACTGTATAGTATAAAAATGAACAATCATTAAATGATACTTAATTTCACAAGATATTAGTCTGACAGTGTCCACTGTTAGAACCTTTCATAACATGGAAGTGCAAATACAACCATTTAATAAATGTTCCAAGAAATTATGTTATAATTTAAGCAAAAAATTAAATTTAACTATATTATCTCACACTGTTGCTTAAAATTTAACTAGAAATCATCTGTTTTAATGTCTCTAACACCTAATAGGTGAGAAGAACACTTAATAGTGTCTCTCCCCTTCCACAGATCAATTATACTTACATTAATTTAAATTATGTGCCAAGCTGTTATTAGATCTTTCCTGTTACAATGCTCACCATTCTTAGTGGTGTTATATGTCAGTAGGTCTATGAACTTGCCTGAATTAGTTACCAGTATTACCTAATTCCATAACTTCTTTACATTATTATGGTGTTCTACACAACCCATTTTGTTGCAAAAATGGATATGACAACCAGATATGAACAACTGATATGGGCGCTGGGGCATGAGGGTATTGCTGGAAACAAAATAGCAGACCAATTGGCCAAGATTGGAGCTGAACATCGGTTCACAGGACCTGAACCAGCCTGTGGCATCTCTATAGGAGTCGCCAGAAAGGCAATCAAGGACTGGACAAATATGAATGACATGAAATACTGGGGATCCTTCACTGGACTCAGGCAAGCAAAGGGACTCATATGAGGACCCTCTACTAAAAGAGCGAAGGAACTGTTGGAGTTAAGCAGGAACCAGCTACAATGGGTGGTAGGACTACTTACAGGACACTGTCACCTCAAAGGACACCTCTTCAAACTGGGACTAAGTACTCGTAACAGTCCAACTCATGAGAGGTGTCAAGAAGAAAATGAAACAGCCACACATATCCTGTGTGAATGTGAGGCCTTAGCTTATTTAAGATTACGTCACTTGGGTCAATATTTTATGGAACCAAGTGACTATTTCGACGTCCCCACGTACAAGATCCTGCACTTCATTTGAAGCGCAGGATTGTTGAAGGGGTAATCAGAAGCAGGGGCACAATAGATCACTGTGGTTGTGGTGCAAGGGCCAAGAAGGCTCACCCCTTATACATACATTCATTCATTCATTCATTCATAACCAGCCATGAATGCTGGATCTGTAGCAACAGGACATGCCACACTCAAAAGCCAGTATATGCAGGCATTATGCAAACCTTTCCTCTTAAACACCAAGAGTGGCAGTGTTTAATTCTAGCGTTACATGTCCATACAAACTTGTGATATTTTTTAAGTAACCAATATTTTGATAAAAGGACAGCCATAGCTTTCCTACCAATTCTTGAAACTGGTTGGAAGATTAACAGGAAAAGTCGCCTGATTTACCTCAGATTCATTCAAATTAAACTTATTTCTCAGATTTCAGTTCGTTTGTATATTAATAATAATAATGGGTCCACGGTTTATGCACTTCAAAATCTGTTTATTCTGTAAACAACTCCCAAATACTAGATTATAATTTATAGGAATGTACTGAACACTGAATTTGTTAATAAGTAATTGACAATATATTATCACAAACCATGTACTACAGAAAAACAAGTTCAACACAATTCAGTCCCAATAAAGACAAACCCAATATGTAGTGCACATAAAAGTGCATCACAAAAATGTTCTCCATATTAGATTTAGAACATAATACTGTTATTATCTACTGTGTTTTGTTTCTTACTTGAGAATTCTGTAGGAGGTAACACACAAACTGCATCCATGGATGACCTCTTCTACATCTGACAAAGCAAGCACAAATTCAAGCTTTTGTGCTTTGATATAGTTCATGATCAAGCCTTTACATAACCTGATCACGTACTACACGTGAACTAAAATTAAATCTTTTAAGAGAATCTTAACTACAACTGTGTCAGATCTTAGGCTCATAGCAACGGCTGAGAAGAACACTATCTTCTGGACTAGAGAGTAAGTCAAGGAAGCAGTGAGCACACAAACTCTATTTGCCGCTTGGTTCTTACTGGTTCATTGTTCAATTGAAAATAACATATGCCAGGCTAGTCTCCTACTGGCTACCAGGTGGGGAACTTTCCATGAGTTAATGCAATGTTTCTGTTCTTTATAGAAGAGAAACAGTCAATCAGATAATTAGTAAAAGTAACATGTAAGCACACAGTCACAAAATGTAAGCAGAGTATCATTATTAGGACAGTAACTGGCAGTGATAAGTGGTGTTAATAATTTTAATACTTCATTTCTCTAACTCTGGCTGACTGTGAAGAAGGTTATTCACTCTTTGCATCCAATGCCTTGCCTGAGTTTATATAAGGTCCATAAACCAAGAATGAAATATGAATCATTCACTTTATAGTAGTGCAAGAATTATAAATACTATAGCATTTAATCTTACAGTCACTGTATACACAATAGAAAATTGTGGCATGTAAACTTTCTTTGTCGGTCATGGTAGCTGAGTGATCTAAGGCATGAAACTGTCTTCACTCACTCGGAAGCCAGGATCGTGGGTTCGAATCCCACACAAGGCATGGATGTTTGGTATGTGTGTTTGTGTTGTCCTGTGTTTAGGTAGAAGCCTTGCAATGAACTGATCACTTGTTCAAGGTGTCCTGTCATCTGTAAAATAATCATGAAACTGAAAATCAGAGGCAAGGTCCAAGGGGGCTGTAGAGCAAGTTGGGGGGGGGACATTTCTTCAATCAATAAAAAAATATGTTTCTTATTAAAATGCAACAATCTTTGTGTTACCTTATTATGAAAACTGTATAAGCAACACAGGGGCATGTAAAAAGTTGTTGGAACCCCAATATACATTGTACAATTTTAAGTTCTGCTATTTTATAACAATTACTGCTATAAACACAATTAAAAAATGAAACAAAAGATAAACAGTGGAAGTTTACCTGTTGTGTTACTGACATTCAATATGAGCTAAACTTGTGCTCTGCACAGTACTGACTAGTGTACTAATTTTTGCCATATCCAAGTGAGAGCATTCAGAGATACAGACTCAGCTACTTTGTACTGCACTTCAAATACTCCATTCTGTTGATTTTGACATTGTACAATACTTTTTTATACAGCTCCATAATAAAAGTTTAGTGGAGTAAGGTCTGGACATCAAAGGGGCCAACGATCTGAATATCCTCTTCAGAAACATGAAAATGCTCATTTAGACTTCCATGAACAATAGTTTGGTAGTGACGCTGAGCTCAATTAACTTTAAAGACTGTGTTGCTAACTTCAGTTTGAAGTAGAATGTGTAGTTTCAAAATATCTGAAGACACAGCTGATGTTCTTACTTGGTTGTAGCAAGAACTGGAATCCTGATACAATGTGCACAGAGTAGTGAATGGAACTGCTCACCATGAACTGCACTAATAATAACACATGACTCCCATAGTTTCTCTTTAAAAGTTTCCTACATATTTATAGCACTAATTATAATAAAATACAAAACCATGAAGACAGTGCCATGAGTTTACTGTTCTGCAATACCACCATACTCTCTATGTTAGAGAAAACAATAATTCTATTTTGAGAAATTGAAATTGGTAGAAGATTTAAAGCAACATAAGAGACATATATGAATTCTCTATTTTAGCATCCTGTTGCAAATCTTTACTTAAACGTTTATGTATCCACAATCCATCAATAATGCAACATTTGTTTATTCACCATTTAACACTTAACACAACACGTTTCGGCCACAGATGGCCATATTTAGGTTTCTTACTGTATCCAAACTGTTACTCTGCTCTGATGTGCACTAAAACTGCGCGCTGCAGTCCACTTAAAAATAACATTAAAATTATTAATTAAAATCCATTAAAATTTTCTATTAAATCTTTTTTTCACTATTTTTGTAAAATCTTATTTCACCTCATGAGAGGTGTTTATGACTTATTAGAGCCCATAGGAACAAGAAAACAAAGGAGATAAAACTTGGCATTAGGTGAAGATAACATAGGCCAAATTTATGTAAAAGGATTGCAATATGTCTGTGTTAATTCTGGTGATGAAGCTTATCAGGTTATGTTATACGGACAACATAAAATTTGCTTCAACTGGCTTGAACAGTGTAGCAAGTAGATCTCATGGCATTTTCACCGTGAAGCTTCTTCAGTATGTCAAATGTGAACACAAAATTTGTTCGTTTTTGCATGTTTTCATTCTGTGATCTTGCTGGTGCTGAACGTGCCAAAGACACCCAAAATGTTGGTGAAAGACATTGTCTAATGACAATCAGATGTGCAGAGGCAAAAAATTGATTCCATCTAGAGATTCAGAACTAACGAGACTCTTTCAGAGGGCACTGAATGGAAAGGAATGTCTTGCTATGATAGTTAATGTGAACCCCACATCACTTTTGCATGGAGAAACTTTCAATGTCTTGATGTTTTCAGCCATAGCAAAACAGATAATTCTTCTGCCAACCACACATAAGAGATAAGACAAGAGACAGCCAATTTTCCCTATTTATTGATAGCAAAGCACACTGCCACATGGTGTTATCAACCATGAAGAGAAACAAGATTTTCCATCAAAAGTTTCTAGTCCTATCAGATGAAGAGTAATAAACTTTGGTATTTGGTACACGGTAGTTCAGAGCAATTATTTTCCCTCTCTTTTATTCATCTTTTCACTAGCTTATTAGACACAAATTAAAACATGCCCAAATATTGTTTTCATTAACATTAAGAACAAACACACTCATTTTTCATGGTCATAACGATGTAAAATTAATATAATAACATAAATTTTATGATCCCCTTTATAATGTGTTTGTAAACTAGTTATTCTGTGAGAGTTGAGGTTCTCTCAGCAGTAAGATTAAGATTAGAGTCTTATGAGATGTGAAATAGTGTACTTTGGTAGACAGGCGCCAATTTTTCAGAGGAACCTACCTACACTGTCTTCATGGTAGAAGTGTGACAGCTACCTACCACACTACATGGTGTTAATCCCATAAGACTGAAATCTATGTTATTACGCTGGTTACTGTTTAAACAATTTCACCAAAGTTGATAATGACCACTTCCATAACACATAAACTAGCAGAACTCTCCATCATACATAATGCTGAAATGCATTTGGAACTTTAACATTATATCTGAAAAATAATAACCAAGACTCTGGAATGGTATAAACTTTTAACATTCCAGAGTATTGGTTATTATAGTATATAGTATATATTATTATATAGTAACTGGACTCCCATTCCTGGTTAACCACATTAACTTAATAAAAGAGTTCACACAAAAATTTAGAATGTTAAAACTGTTTATTTTTCAAATATAACCAGCATTATAAAAACGCGCTTCCTGAAAACAACATTTACACTCCTGTCCAATAACAATAGATATGTTTGTATCAGTGTTGCAAACATAGTGGATTTGTGTAGTAATACAGACATGGTCTTAGCTAACTACTGTAAACAAACATGAAACACTTTTCCTTTTGAAAGACCTACAGTGTTTGGAAAATGGTTGGTACTCTTTTGTCTTATTCTAGTGATTTCCATAAAACCCCATTTTTCCCCAAACACTATATCATCATTCCTAGAACAAAGTGAGTACATGTTACACCTAAGAATTATGATCACAGAACGTTTTCTCCATATAAAAACTGGCAAATCCTTGTCTTCAAGTTGGTGTTTGAGTTGAGTTGAATGTCTGTAAGTTGTGCGTTGGTCATTGGACTTGAGAATTTCCCACTCAATAACCATTCGTTGATCGCTGCACGTTCATAAGTGAAGCCATCTGTAACAGAGTTCAAGGAGGTTATTAAAGATGCCAATATAAAGAAGAAAATAGGCAAATGCGGCCAAGGAATGACAATAAAAAGGTGCATTTCATTTACACATGATGCCTGCTGTGCAGGTACATAATATGCATTATCTATTGGGCAGTGAACAGCCAGATGGCCAGCCAATTGCAGATTAGTAACAGTTTCTGTTTTTTGTGAGGGTTGTTTTTAAAATGAGCAATACTCAAATAATGAAAATTGCTGTATCAGTCTGAGAAGAATATGTACTATACCTATCTATAACAAGCTTTTATCAATACATTTGTATTACAGAATGTAAGATAACAACAGTGTAGGTAAATATATATTTGGTATTCAAATTGATGGCGATAATCAATGACATGCAGGTACTAGTTACATGTGAGCTCAAAAAATGCATTTTCATTTTAATGTGAACTGCCTGCTGACCAATTGAGAGAGGTGAGGTGAAGGGAAAGTAGGTTATTGTGTGTGTGTGTGTGGAGGAGGGGGGGCTGTCGATGAGAAATGTGAGGCAAGAAAGCAAAATTATATTCAAATTATTAGTTATTTTATTGTAAAATTCCATCGATCCAGTCTGGGCTACAAATACGTCTGACAGATATAGAACCAGTCACAGACAAGAAACTAAAATACACATGCTATGAAAAAAGCATAGGTCAGACCAAACAATAAACCAATAAACCAAAATGTTTATCTTCTTACTTTAACATTAAACATAACAACATCTTAAATTTAATATTGTAAAAAATCATAATACCAAAAGGTAGATGATAACATATTTATGCCAAAATAAGTCACCTATGATACATAAAATCGTAAAATTTCATATTAAAATTAGTAATTATTATTAAAAAAATCATTGAGTGAATAAAAAGAATTCAATTGAAGGTAATTTTTTAGAGTATTTTTAAATTGATTCTTATCATCAGTCAATATTTTTATGCAAGGAGGTAAGCGATTAAATGCCTTTATACCCATATAATAAACACCATTTTTATAGACAGACAACCCTGGTTGTGAAGGGTAAAAATTATTTTTACCTCTGGTGTTGATATCATATAACTCTGAATTTGTTTTAAGAAAGGAAATATTATCAATTACAAAAATTAGTAATGAAAATATATACTGAGAATAAAACGGTAATATATCTAGTTTCTTAAACAACTCCCTACAGGAATCCCTATTTCTGGAATTTGTAATAATTCTATTGGCCTTTTTTTGTAGTTTAAATATATTGATACTATAAGGGGAATTGCCCCAGAAGATTGTACCATATGACATAACTGCATGAAAATAAGAAAAGTAAATCATCCTTAGTGATTCATGGGACACAAAGGGTCATAAAGATCTAATAGCATAACATGCTTTGCCTAATTTAACCATAAGTCCATCAACATGATGCTTCCATGACAAGGAGCTGTTGACAATAATACCTAAAAACCGAGTATTTGTATTGTTAATAATATATTTATTATTATAACTGATATCTAACTGAATTGTTTGGCTGTTAGTGGTTCTAAATTGTATATACTGAGTTTTGTTATAATTTAATGACAACAAAGCGATATTAAACCATTCATTCAACTGTCTGAAAGAGGAAATAATATCCTTCTTAAAATTTACTAAATTAGGATTACTAACAATGATGCTGGTATTATCAGCAAACATGACTGGCTTAGAGTTATAATTAACTACTTCAGGTAGGTCATTTATGTTATGCGATTTCACTCTCTGCAACATTTTTTGGAACACAATTATCGCATAAGTTGAGGAATATCTGTATTTGAGTTGGCTAAGGAAAATCCTGTATGATGAAAGATTATAAACACACACATAAATTTGAAATGAAGTATATTTTATATGTTAACACTTATAAACATGGTAACAGTGAAAAACTTAGGTTGTATCTGGTGAATTTAATGTACTCAGAATCTTTACCACTGCAAATTATCCATGGAATTGGGTGACTAAGTTTAATTATTAATAATGTATAGTTCCAGACAGCCTTACCAGAACAGGAGGGAGCATCATAAGTAATTCCCAGAACTGACTTTTAACTTATTTTTAATAAATTCTCAAAGTAATCCCCTAAGTGAAGTCTTGGATATGATAGTGGTCACAAGGCAAAGAGTCAAGTCAGGTGCTAGTCTCTGAGGACTGAGTAGCAGTCCACCTGCCTCTAGTTTCATGGCTTATGCAGTAGCAATACCATTCTCATGTACAGGTGTTGCTATTACCTGAGCAGACAACAGGATCATGCATGATCTCATGTGTGATAGGACATAGGAACTCATGTGGTATATCCATATCCAGAGGCACCTCAGGTATCCCATTATCTTCCTTCCGTAGCCAGTAAAGATGCAGGGTCAATCTCTCTCTCTCCTCACCATCATCTGCATTATAAACGTAATTATATTATTGCTATGCTACATCAACGTGCTCTGTTTATAATCTATAACAAATTTAGACTGCACATTACCAAAGTTGCAGAAAATGTTTTAACACTTTAAACATGAAATTCATATAAATAACATTTAAAATTTTGGTTTTTTCCTCACAGACAATAGGCAGTGACTCTACTACAAAGATGAAATAGTTAATGTTTTATATAGAAATGAGCAGTTCATCATTAGAGAAAAAAACACAAACACACACTACAGAAAAATGCAGACTTTAAGCACAGGGTACATAAAGTAAATAGTGTGCTTCAAAAGGTGAAAGTACAGTGGAACCTCCAATTTAATGTTCCTCAATTTATTATTTGATCTCAATAATACCAAATCAAAGATCTCAGTGTTAAATTTCCTGCACTTCAGATTTTCATCAATTTTGTGTCCAGATCCGAAGATCCCCAAGGATACTTTGGAAGTTTCACTGTTGAAGGTAGTTTTCACAAATGATTCCAATTTAACATTTCATCGATTTAACTCTTTTCTTAATTTAAAATTCAACTTCAGTGACCTCCACTTAATGATCACAGTGCAAGATTTCCTAAGTTAAGTTTTTAAGCTTATGAGTGTTCAAATTCGCTGCTCCTCAAAGAAATCTTACACATGGATTTTTGGTAAAGAGCAAGATGAACACTAAGAGAACACCAACACTATCAACTGCGACCAATTTTATTTAATTACATGAAAACCTTCACATTTTTTTGTCTTAGGAGATGATCATCTGAAGGTGCTCAATAAGTAAGGAAGTGCATTACAGTTACAGAAGTCAACAGTTCACCAATTTTACCACAGTGGAGTTAACACAATACCAGGCTGGCTTCCCACAGAGGCGGCCCGGGTTCGATCCCGGTCTGGTCAAGTGGGATCTGTGGTGGACAAAGTGGTGCTGGGGCAGGTTTTATCCGAGTACTTCAGTTTCCCCTGCCAATCTTCATTCCATCAAATTCTCCATCATCATAATCACCCAGGGCAGGCTACAATAGGCCAATCAGTGTCTGCCGTGCCGAGTGGGCCCAGTTGGACTCCACCTCCCACTAACACAATACCATAAATGCCATAACCAATCACTACACACTACATAAAGACCAAGGATATTATATCACTATCCAGAGAATTAACAACCGAAGACTCCACACACATATTCCAAGATTAATATATTTGTATATGTAAGATAATTAAAAAATCTTTTAAAACATTTTCAATATATTAACAGCTTTCATTTTTACGGTAATGAATTCACAGAAGGAAGACTTGGTGAACAACTGACATTTGTAACTGTACAGCACTTCCTTGTGTACAGAGTACCTTCTAATGAAAGACCAAAATATGTAAAGGTTTTTATGTAATTAAATCAAATTGGTCATGGGATTCGATGATGGTGTTGTTTGCTTAATATCAAATAGTGTGATGGACCAGATTCCTTCTATTAAAATATGAAAAACACCACTCACAAAGATCGTCAGTCAAAGAAAAGAATTATGAAATGACTCAAAATGTGTCCCCCAGTGCAGCATTTTGCAGCTTCAAATTGCAGGCAGTGTGTATATAATGCAGACACATCTGATCAATATTAAACACTAGTCAGACATTAGCAACAGTAGTGTACTACAAGACTGAATTCTACTGTTAATACTTAAAGGAGCAGCATAAGCCTCAACAGAACAAATAAAACAAAATGGGTGTCAAGCCCTCCTTGACATTAGATTCAAAAGGGTTAAGGTGATTCAAATTGAATGAAGTATTGTACTGACCTATCTGCAGCATATCAAGGATCTCATCAAAGGTCAGGGTAATAAGCCATCCTCCGTTGAGGTTAGTCTCTCTAACACGTTCTGCAGCATGTACCATTCCTAGGCCTTTTAACCAGCATTTCACATCCTCTGCATTCCAGTTCAGCAGCTGGGAATACATTCTTAGCTTAAATACAATCCATTACCTGCCCGAAAAGCTGTTTATGTTTCTTTACTTTTGCACCTGCCTAAGATTTAGGCCAAAGTAATCATTTTGTTATGTCTGATATGGTTTGATGAAAATGATGTGATTAAAATAATTAGTTTCTGTGTATATATATATGTTCACTTGTTTCAGATTGTGCATTGACATTTGAGTTTAGCGAAAGTGTTACTTTGCTTTACTTCGGTTGTAGTGATGTAATGCTAGTAAAACTCAGAAATCTTGTGCAGGCCCTAGCCGCAGAAGACCTTGACTTCTGACAGCTGTGTGCCGCATGTCAGTCTATTCTAACAACTGTACTACATTAGAAGCAGGTCACAAAATGCTGAAACATTAAATGACATGCCAGAGATAATGAAACCAATAGTTTTCTGTTATTGGGATATACAGGACAGAGGTTTCATTGTACCTACCGGTTTGCTATGGCTCCGAAGACTGGTGGCTGCAATAGCTTGGAATACCAACTGTTGTGGCAACTCCCATACCAGTAGTGTCCCATCTAAGGAACCTGTTCATAGGAATGACAGCCCACAACTTATTTAAGTTACTTCATGAAAATTGTGCATGCATGCATACAAATATCATCTTGTGTCAAAGTTCCTGTACATCATTCTCAGGACAACACTTCCCATTTTTATCTAAAATATTTACATATACTGTTAACATGATTGGGCTTTAAGGAAAGCTAATTTCAATTGTAACGTACAGTCCAATCATCTAACAGTTACCCAGAAATTATGTAAGCTCATACTGTGGTATGAGCTTGGTCTGTCAAGTCTGCTACCAGTGCAGATTTATGCAGGTTGAGTCAAAGCCAGGATCAGCCATCTCTCCTGGCTGAGAGACCACACAGGTTGCCAACAGCTCTTAGATGATCTCACTGTATAATCCATTTCAGGTAGGAACTGTGTAATACTGAAATTATGACTACATTTTCACTTTCACAGTTGTGAATGTGACATTATTAATTTTAAGTAAAAGGTAAAAAAAAAGTTGTCCCTCTGCTTAACTATTTAAGCATTACTCCATGAAGATGTATGGGGGAGTGGATGTATAGACCCACATTCTCTTGACCTTGGCACTAGTTGGAGGTGAGTGGTCAGCTCCAACCGCTTTACCCCCCAGAAAGAGCCCCTGGTACCCATTGTATAGGAAGTCGGGTGGATGCCAGAGCTGGTCTGGACTACGTGTAGAAGAGAAAATTCCTACACTACCGGGACTTGAACTCCCATCCTCTTGGTTGTCCAGCCTGTAGCCAGTCGCTATACCGACTAAGCTATCGTGATTCACCCTAGCTTGGAACACGTTATTGAACAATTCACTGCAAGGGCCTTTGAAACTTGAGTTAGTCTTTATATGTGCTGTGTTAACATGTATGGTAGATTGTCATTCATGTTCTGCATAAACGTTAAGCTTCTTCATGTCATGTTTCCATTTTGAAATTATGGAATTGCTACAATTGCTCTCTTCTCTATAAAATTTCCTATTATGTTGTAACGTGTTTTGTTACTGAATACGCCGTAGAGATCGTTAATTGGTTTATTTAACAATCTACAAATATCGGCTACAATTAATGATAACAATGCTACGGGTTTCTACACTTTACAAACCCTACAATAAAATCTCTTAACACTATCTTCAAGAGTCTTCACGCATTAATAGCACGGGAGCTATACAAGTCTCGCTGAATTACACACTCCAAATATAAACGGTTATCACGATCTATCACTGATTCTCGCACACGCATCTGTAGCTCGTAACTTGCGAACTGAGAACTCGTTGATAACACACTGACTCTCGCTTGCTGCTCAGCCGGCTTTTATTCCGTTCGCTGTTGCTAGGGTCGCTCGCCACGTCACAGTAGGAAGTGGTGCCGCGTCACCATGTTTGCGTATAGCCTAGCAACGCTGTTACCTCGCGCCGTCTTATGACACCGCGCGTTGCGCGTTACATCACCGCGGAGGGGAGGGGAAGGGAGGGAGCGCTACGTTACCGCCACGTGCCGCTGGGGAGGTAGGGGTCCTCCGTTGCGCAACATGTCACAATGTTTCTAAGGGCTTTTATAACACAAATTAGCCCATGTCCAATTTTCACATACAATGTGACACATTTTATTAAAAAAATACTGAAAATAAGAGAAATGATTGTACTAAACAAAGTATACAATTAAAAAATACTTTAAATAACTGCAAAATACTACATAAAGACTAAATCAAACAGAACAATAATATAACACTGAATTACATTCCATGGATCCAAAGTTAGTCAGAATGACTGCAGGATGTGGAATATGTCATATAAATACAAAACATATGTACAAACCCAATGGAGTTCTCACACAAGAGAAACCAAGAATACACAGTGACTACACACAAGGCTATTTAAAGATACATAAGTTATTTTCTAGACACTAGGTATTCATCAACAGAGTAGAATGAATGTGTATTTAAGTATCATTTGAGTGCTATTTTAAATCCTGCCTTTTCATTCATAAGACCTTTGAAATCAGATGGCAGGTTATTAAAAAATGTTGATCCCAGCATAATATGTTTTCTGAAAGCATGAGAGGTTAGCAATTGGTTTATGAAGACAGTATTTGTGTCTTGTGTTAACACTGTGTACATCCGCATTCATCTGAAAATGTTCGTCATTTGTAATGAAGTTTATTAACATATATATACAGTAGAACTTGGTTATAACGTCATCAAAGGGACCTAAAAATAGTGTCGTTATAAACGAATGTCGTTGTAACCGAAATGGGCACTTCCACAGTAGCCTTATGTTAGTCACGTAAAAATCTACCAAAACCGAGTTAAAATGTTGCATTTTTTAGTGAAATACGTAGTTAAGTACAGACTAACGTAACATTAACGTGGAATTGCCCAAATGTGTAATATCAAAGACATATTACAGCGCTTTTCACTGACAATACACACAATATTTCACGAATCACTTTAACTTTCTCTTCAATGCTTAAAACTTTCCTTTTCATTGCCATGTTTTCGCTACTGCACTTCTCTGGGTTTAGGCAGGAACACTATAAGGTAAGTAGACAATGTGAGGTCCTGTTAGACGAGATTATAGGAAAGGAATGCAGTTAACAACCTGCCGCGTCCTCTTGCACTATTCACGCAGTCCCACCCCACACCCTTGTTTTCGCATAAAACCCACGCTCCTCTTGCAGCCCGCGGTCGTATTCTTCCAGGACAGTCACATCAGCAAGTAGAGAAAGTGAGGGTGGGCAGACACATCGAACTTTCCCACGATATCAGAGAAATTCAGGAATGAAAATGACGTTACATACGAGGTTGATGCATTTGTGCATGTCGTACTAAGCAAGGTATAAAAACAGTTGCTTTATGAGGAATTAGTTCGTACCATTGAATATTTGACGCAATAGACAAGGTGTCGCAGAAACCGATGTTGCTATAACCAAGTTTTACTGTATATATATTCACAAGGAAAAAATAAGATCTGTAGTCCCTTGAAAAGATCTCTACAGGAATTACGGGATTTGACACCCATCATGATTCTACTAATTTTCTTTTGCAATGTAAATACCTTTTTACTGTCAGATGAATTACCCCAGAAAATTATTCCATACTTCATTAAGGAGTGAAAGTAAGCAAAACAGATTGATTTGAGAGTGTCAATGTTACTAATATGTTAACATGAATCTAACTGCATAACATGCTCTACTTAGCTTTGGAATCAACTGATTGATATGGTTTTTCCAGTTTAAATGATTACCAATTTGCAAGTCAAGGAATTTTGTGTTTACTCCCTCTTCTATATATTTATCATTATATCCTATGTTTAATTGATACTGTGGTGAGTGTCTTGTTATAAATTTTATTACATTTGTCTTTTTCTAGGTTCAGGGACAGTAACTGTAATTAACAAGATGTCAAAAGTAGTGGAGGCGGAGGCGGTGGCAGTGGTGGTAATGGTAGTAGTTACATTATTATTATTTCTGATTGTTAGTGTAACAGCTCCTAATGCCCATCTATACTACCAATGGTAAAACCGGTCAATTCCTACCAACCTTGGTCTAAAATGCTTCACACACCCTGAAAACTTCATACATTCCCCTGAAGGAACACCCCTCAGATTAAGAACCACGAGAATATTGTCAGATTGCCTTTAAGGTCCTTGCTATATTGTATTATAAGTGGGTAATTACATTATGTAAAAATGACTAGGCATTATGGACACACATTAGTTTTGCTTTCAATTGAAATACCTGTGGCAAGAAGGGATGAATCACCAGAAAAGGCACAAGTTGTCACCATGCTATCATCACTCTCCAACACATGGACACATTCACCAGAATACTGCATGGGAAATAAAAAGCGTAATTATTAACAATAATCTATATATACTAAAATCTCCATAAACAAAACTTGTGGCTTCAAAATTTTGAATTTTGTTCCATGACAATCAGGGGAAGAGACCACTAAGGGGACTCAAGTATAAATGAAAGGATGAAACAATGTGATTTGTCTTACTGTATCTCACAACTGTCAAGATGACCAAGCAGAAAAGCCTCATGGCAAATATAGATTGTGGTGGTTCCAACATTTCAGGGGAACTTAATGCCTCCATCTTCATGATTCAGGGTAAAAGTATTCTACCCTGAAGATGGAGGCAGCAGATTCCTTCAAAACATTCATAACCACCGACCAAACTACACAGTGTCATCACCCCAGAAAATATCAATCTACCCATAAACTAAACTGAGTTTTGCGATGATGATGATAAACTCTGACATTTAATAACAATCAGTAATTTCTTGACAAGTTATACAACTGAAGGCAGATAAGATACCATAGGTTTCTACAGTAGATTTTCCACGGTTTTCTTCAGTCCCTCCAGGCAAATAACCTGTTACTTTCATTGGGTCTCGATGGCTTCCTTTCAAATCCTTTCCAATTCATTATTTCCCAGTCATCTTGCATTCAATGCTACACAGTTTAGGACACTGACAGTGTAATAAAATAAACTACTCATCACTATGTGAGACTTAAGTTTCCCTGGGCAATGTCCTCTGGGATGTAACACTAGGTAGTCCAATAGACTGTTACTGACAATCCAGAGGAATGCCCTGCCTCCATTTTCAGGGCAATGGAAGCAGAACATTTCTCAGAAATATCAACAACAGCCTATCAGACAGATTAATGGCAACATACGTGTATTTTCATTTGTAATACTGTATGTGAGAAGTCTGTGTGTTTGTAGTCCTTTGAAAGTCAAGATGCTGACAGAAGCATCCGAGGAAGCTACTGAAACATCAATCACAGAACCTGGTCCTGAAGAATTCAAATCATTCCCCATTTTGCACAAAAAGCATATGATGTAACTGGTCACTTAAACTTACCACATTCCACAGTCTGATCGTCTTGTCAGTTGCTGTGGATGCCAGGATCTCTCCAGTGATTGGGGTAAAACGAACACACATCACGTTGCCACCATGGCCAGTCAACTGACGCCGCAACACACAATCTACTGCAAATTCCTTGTCCGTTGGAAATGCTAATATGTACCACAGCTTCACAAGTGAGTCATTACCACAAGTTGCCAGCAGGTAACGGTATCGCTTACTGTTGCTCTGCTTTGATGCTGCAATGATGCAAGAAAGTTATGTCATGTGAAATACTGCTTACAGTGCAACACCTCCTCTGAATATCAAATGCAGAACTAGACATTCAAAGGTTTTTTTTTTGGGGGGGGGGGGTTCTTTGCCCTCATAGGTGAATGCCAAAGGGTACACTGACATTAGACACACGTGTTTCTTCTCCCAATCACACATCTACAGTGAAACACAAACTTAATGATCCTCAGTTCAAAGTTTTCCTTAATTCAACATTTATTAAACAATGGTAAGGTAAAGTTGTCCCTGTGCTCAACTAACTAAGCACTATGCCATGAAGGCGTATGGGGGAGTGGGTGTATAGATTCATATTTTCTTGACCTTGGCACTAGTTGGAGGTAGGTGGTCAGCTTCATGCCCCAGCCACTTTACCCCTGGGGGAAGAGTCCCCGGTACCCATTCGATAGGAGGTTGGGTGGACCCTAGAGGTGGTCTGGATGACGTGGAGAAGAGAAAATTCTTGACCCTACTGGCACTCGAAATCTGACCCCTTGGTCATCCAGCCCGTAGCCAATTGCTACACCGATTACACCATCTCAGCTTTTCAATAAATGATGGCAAGTAAAAAAATGCAATGTTAAAATTATCTCAGTTTAAAACATTCCTCAGTTTCATGTTTACATTCAGTGGTTGAAAAGAAACCTTAAATATGGGTATCGCTTAGATTCTGAAGTGTTCTGATGATGGTGAATAACATTCAGGATTACTGGGTTTTGGTCTTTGGTTCCTCATGAGGTCATTGGATTTCTTTATTTACCTAATCCTTCCAGCCACATGATTGCCCTGGGGTCAACTCAAGACTCTCACAGAAATGAGTACCAGGAATCTTCCTGGGGGTAAAGGGCAACTGGCATGTAAGGCTGACAACGTCACTGCCATCTGTGAGCCAAATGTCTACAAAATGTGGGAATGTCAATGTCTCACAACCCTATGGGCCTTCACAGCCTGTTAAATGGACAGCTTTACCTTTTTTTCTGCCTGCTTCCTTCAAAATCCTTTTGAAATCATCAGTCATCCTACCATTCAGTACTGTGTAGTCTAGGCACTCACAGCATCATAAAATAACTCACTAAATGACGGATGTTTCCATTTCATTGAAAATTAAGAATACAGTCTTAGGAGGGAGGTAATTTGGTAGGTACGGAAACAAATCCAGTTTCCAAAACGTTATGTTCTTTATGCTACAGGACGATGGGCAAAGTCCAAAACCCATGACCTTCCAGTTCATAGCATAGTGCCTCAACCAACTATGCTACTGTGTACCCCAGAAAGAAGCAGTCATAGCGTAATCCAGATACTATCCTAGCATTTGTCTAGTACGACTGAGGAAAATTATGAAGAACTTCAATCAAGAAAGCCAGTGTCCCAGTCAAAACTGGAACCAAGTATCTCCTACATATAAGAATAGCATTACTGCTATACCAATTCTTCACTGAGGACCTCAAATTTAATAATTTATTGTAACGTGTTTCGTTACTGAAGACGCCGTAGAGATGGTTAATTGGTTTATTTAACAATCTTCAAATAACGGCTACAATTAATTATCACAATATTACGGGTTTCCACACTTTACAAACCCTACAACAAAATCTCTTAACACTCTCTTCAAGAGTCTTCACGTACTAATAATGCGGGAGCTATACAAGTCTCCCTGAATTACACTCTCCAGATATGACTGGTTATCACTGGTTATCGCACACGCGGCTGTAGCTCGTAACTTGCGAACTGAGAAGTCGTTGATAACGCACTCGGCGACTGTCACAGTACAACTGACTGTGAATAGCCTTCGCTGCTCCTTATGTAGCCTCGATCGGACAATACGGCCACGTAATAGGCACCCTTGTTGCCTGGCGCTGTGTTGCTAGCAACGCAAGCAGTAGTAACCGCTGTTACTACCGTAACAATCCGGTTGCGTCACCGTTACGTTACCCTGCGGAGGAGGGGGAGGGGANGGGAGCGCTGACTCACCCGCCGCGTCACTGCTGGTGGGGGGGGTTCTCCTTTGCGCAACATGTCACATTATATTCCGTATACCTAAGACAATGACACAGTCCAACATAACTGCAGTATGTCCATAAACCTTGGTTATGTTTCTGAATGCGAGTGGTGAAGTGTTACCTGCTATGCCCTCTGTGGGAGAAAAGTCACAGCTTTGCACTCCAAGGTCATGAGCATCTTCCTGTGTCAGAAGGCACTGTTCGGAGCACGGGGCTACACACCACAGCTTCATGTGGCCATCAGAACAAGCTGTAATCAGGTACTGGCTATCAGGTGTGAATGCTGTAGCGGCTATGGCATCATTGTGTCCTTCCACAACCCTGAAATAAGCATTACCAGACTATATATATGTGCACTGCACCAAATGCATTCTTTGCAAATTTATATACAACTCACATGTACTTTTCATTTGTTGCAGTTACAAGGGCAGTAATGTAAAGCAAGTCACACTGTAGATATTTTGCATACAATTAAAAATTACTCTTCCTTATACTTCATCAAATATTTTCTATATGGAGAAAAGTTTCAAGTAAAAACTGTGGACTTTATGAGACGTACACTTATATTATTTACAATTTATACAGAATAAACGATTTTAATTTGATTTTATCTTCCACAATGTAGAGATAAAGTGTGTGGGTCATTTCATAAATAATGCACAGGTTGACAAAACTGCGGATTACATGACGCAACAACAGTGAGCCTCATGTCAGTTACAGTTCAGAGCTTGAGAAAGAAGCGCATTATTTTGTTTCATTTATAGTGTACTCTGTTCTTAAATAATGTGAGATAGAAATGGAGCCTGCATGGTTCTCAGGTATTGTGACTGTTGAATATCAAAGGTCGTACATTAAGATCAAAACTTTACGTGGAAAAAACCCGACAGAAATCCACAGCTGAAATCACAGTCCAACAAGTGGAGAGGTCCATCTTCCACACGACCAAAAAAATTTCGACGATCTCAATCAAAGGTCAAACAAATGATGATCTTTGCTTACGATCACCACGGAATCATCATGACAGACAGAGTTCCGTGTGGGAAAAGTATCACAGCAGTTTATTATCTTGACTTTATGCAAAATCTGCGCAGAAAAATGCACAAAAACCGACCTCAGTTGTTCGAGGCTGGGCCTATCATTCTCCATGACAATGCTCGCCCGCACATCGGGAATGTCGTAACAGAAAAGCTGAGGCAATACGGTTGGGAGGTGTTGCCTCATGCTCCCTACAGCCTGGACATGAGTCCACAAGACTTCAACTTATTCCCAAAGTTGAAACAACCTATGCGAGGCAGTACCCAAGCCATTCGACAGATAAACAAAGATGTTGTCCTGGATGGAATAGTAAAGCTTCCCACATGTTGGGTCTCGGTCATTGAGAAGCAGGGGGACTATATTGAAGGACTGTAAAGAGATATTAAAAAAAAATAAACATGGACGTAAACAAAAAACTGTGTGCATTATTTCTTAAATGACCTACGTATAATACATATATTCCATGGATATCTCAACGAGATGGAGGTTGGAATTATATTAATAAATCGCAATAAATAATTTTCATGTTAATATTTTCAGCATTTAATTGAGAAGAATAAGATGAGTGTGGAAGGTAGCACACAATGGAGAAATGACAAATGCAAGAACATTTCTGTCTGAAAGTCCTTAAAGGAAGAGGCAATTCAGAATATCTAGGTATATATGGGAGGATAACATGGAAAATAATCTTTATAAAACAGAGAGCAAAAATGTGGCCTTAATTTATGTGGATCAAGGCTGAATCCAATGGTGAGCTCTTATGAACAGAGGAAAAGCATTTGGGTTTTGTGAAAGGTGGGAAGTTCAACTAAAATCATGAAAATATTAACTTGTCATGAAGGACTCTGTTCCCACAACATTAGTCCTTTTCAGTATTTATGTACTTCCAGAATAGTGAAGTCTATTTCCTAGGCAACGGCTAGCTAAAAACATTCCCGCGGAGACAGATTCTTGGTAAACCACCCACTGCTGGGTGACACAAACATACTAGAATGAACGGTGTTTTGTGTGGGTCCACCCTGAGGATATATAACAAGGATCTCATGCAGATTTTCAAGTCGTAGGGACAAAAAGGTAACCCAGTGCCTGGGGGTTATAACTGGACCACCCCTGTTCCTGGGGGATATAAATATGGGGATCTGGCCCTACATGTTGCGGGAGTCTTGAATCTGAGAGAGTTAAATATGGTCATCAGTCCCGTAAGACTGGAACCTGAAAATGACTGTGCTGGCGAGGGTCAGCAGCAATTGTAAATGACAGACCCACCCTCTTGTCATAGAGGATGTTACGTAAGGACTATAACCGAAAGTGTAAGTAAAAAAAAAAAGTAAAGCTATCCCTGTAACAGGCCGTGAAGGCCCCTAGGGTTGTGAGACGTTGAGAGTCTCACATTATCTAGACAATCGGGTCAAAGATGGCAGTCAGGTTGTCAGCCTTATGTGCCGGCCGCGCTTTACTCCCAGGAAAATTATTTAATTAATTCCTGGTACTAATTTCTGTTAGAGGCTGAGTCGACCCCAGGGCCATAGTGTGGCTGGAAGGATTAGGTCAACTGAAAATAATCCAACGACCTCATCAGGACTTGAACCCGTGACCTTCCGGCTTGTAGCATAGTGTCTCAACCAACTACGCTACCGCGCGCCCCTATAACCACAACTGTTCAGTTTAAAAAAAATACTGGTCCTGGGTCTCAAGGGGCTTGGCGCCAAGATGAACTGAATGGTGGTCAACCACCAGTCATAAAGTAACTCTGACTCTAGAAATAGAACTGAGCTGAGTATCAGAGTTCACAGTTGCAACTGGAGAACTGAGTCAAGTCTTCATGGTTGGCAAGCTGGCAGAATAATGACAAGAAAGGAATTAGGTGGTTCAAAGAAGACTTCATGTGTGAGACGGGTATAACTGCAGTGTTGAAATCTAGTTTCAAACAAGGAAGTTTGTTACTTGGTTCAAACAGCTCTGTTACACACATGTGTTGTTCCATAATGTTGGTGCTCCAAACAAATGCCTTTTCATCATCTCCTGCTGTTACCAACAGATGACCATCAGGGGAGAAGCGGCAAGTTCGAACACCAGAGCCACTAACTTGGAAGCTTGGTCGTCCTCGTCTACCACTCTGCAAAAAGGTTCAAATGTCTCTTAAGATTAGTTCTATCTACTGGGCTATAATACTAACAAGCTATAAAGTTTATTATTCCAAGGACATACAACTCTTAAAAAACATGAACTTTTATGCAAATCTTACACTACAGAAATGTTTTCGAACAATACCTAGCAACAATAGTTTCCAGTATAAGGTGCATTTGACAGGTACCTTGCTTCTACAACCATCACTGTCTTTTTTAAGGTAAAGTTGTCCCTGTGCCTAAGTAATTAAGCACTATGCCATGAAGGCATACGGGGGACTGGAGGTATAGATCCACATTTTCTTCACCTTGGCACTAGTTGGAGGTGTGTTCAGCTTCAAGCCCTTGCTGCTTTACCCCCCTCCCACGGGGAAGCAGACCCTCGTACCAAATGGATAGGAGGCTGTGTGCCTCAGAGCCCCTCTGGATGACATGAAGAAAATGTTTTACGCTACCAGGACTCAAACTCTGACCACTTGGTCGTCCAGCCTGTAGCCAGTGACTATACTGACTATGCTATCCTGTTACTATCACCCTTACCAGAAAGAATTACAATCACTTCTCGCAACTGTTAATTACAAATGCTTCAATACTGTCATAACATTAAAATCCAAAGTAGTGATACTTAAACCTAAACACAGGGGGAAAAAATTCTACTGTCCTTTCTAAGATGGGTTGATGAATCTCGAACATACGAAACGTTTCTGATAAATTTATGAGTTGTCCCTATGTTCAGCACCATATGATGATATGTAATACATACCTCAGCATCCCAAAGAATTGTGGATCCATCAAGAGAACAAGATGCCAGTAGCTCTCCATTTGGAGAGAATTCTACCTGGTTAACACCATAACGATGACCTTCCATTGGGGAACTTTCTGATTCTTCAAAACGACCCTCTTCATTACGAACCCATAAACGGACCATCTTATCCCTAAAAATGAGACGTGCAATGTAAATAAGGCATAATGCAGACTACACTCACACTTATGGACCTACTAAATCTAATGCTCTTCTGTGCAATTTCAAGTTCAGCAAATTTCTAATATGCAGGTTCATGGCTATGTGCTTCATGGAGACTGGTGCACCACCAGCTGAGAAGGCATACAAATTCTCCTGATAAATCAGTATGCCTGATGGCTGATAACTTTTGGAATGAAGGGAAGTTATAAACTTTGTGGGCCACTTGATGGCATTATGTTCCACAGCAGGCAGTCTGGTTCATGTGTGCGAATATGTTTATGTTTGTCAGCAGTGGGTGGCAATTATCAGCTCCATTTGACGTTTGTTCTCAGTTACAATTAATGAGAAGTGTGTTCCATCATGGTGCAGCATACGTTAGAGCAATGTGTATTTCTGTATGACACCTATGTGAAATACGTATCTGACAGAGAGTCGGCAAAAATTTTGACATACAGGGTGTCCCAGGAGGAATGTGCCAAACTTCGGGAGGGTGTTCCTTATGTTAAAGTATGCCGATATAACCCAAAACACCTATGTCCAAAGTTGAACGGTTACGGAGATAATGGCCAGAGAAGTGTCAAACTTTGACCGGGGTTACACACTTGTTGATTACAAAATAGATATTAAAACTGGCAGGAATAT